TACAAATGAAGTATTCTGAGTTCTGGTACAGCTGTCTGAAAAGGTTGGCTGATACAAATGAGGTGTTCTGGGTTCTGGTACAACTGTCTGAAAGGGCTGGCTGATACAAATGAGGTATTCTGAGTTCTGGTACAGCTGTCTGAAAAGGTTGGCTGATACAGATGAGGTGTTCTGGGTTCTGGTACAACTGTCTGATAGGGTTAGCTGATACAGATTAAGTATTCTGATTTCTGGTACAACTGTCTGAAAGGGTTGGCTGATACAGATGAGGTGTTCTGGGTTCTGGTACAGCTGTCTGAAAGGGCTTGCTGATACAGATGAGGTGTTCTGGGTTCTGGTACAGCTGTCTGAAATGGTTGACTGATACAGATGAGGTGTTCTGGGTTCTGGTACAGCTGTCTGAAAAGGTTGGCTGATACAGATGAGGTGTTCTAGGTTCTGGTACAGCTGTCTGAACGGGTCGACTGATACAGATGAGGTGTTCTGGGTTCTGGTACAGCTGTCTGAAATGGTTGACTGATACAGATGAGGTGTTCTGGGTTCTGGTACAGCTGTCTGAAAAGGTTGGCTGATACAAATGAGGTATTCTGAGTTCTGGTACAGCTGTCTGAAAGGTCTGACTGATACAGATTAGGTATTCTGGGTTCTGGTACAACTGTCTGATAGGGTTAGCTGATACAGATTAAGTATTCTGAGTTCTGGTACAGCTGTCTGAAAGGGTTGGCTGATACAAATGAGGTGTTCTGGGTTCTGGTACAGCTGTCTGAAAGGGTTGACTGATACAGATGAGGTGTTCTGGGTTCTGGTACAGCTGTCTGAAAGGGTTGGCTGATACAGATGAGGTGTTCTGGGTTCTGGTACAGCTGTCTGAAAAGGTTGGCTGATACAGACTGGGTGTTCTTAGTTTTGGTACAACTGTCTCAAAGGGTTGACTGAAACAGATTAAGTATTCTGAGCCCTCGGGCAACTGTGTGAAAAGGTTGATACAGTTAGAATAGAAAAAATTCAGGAGCATTTGATAAGGTAAAGATAAAGTACTTACTGTCAATGTAATGTCAAATGAATATGTCATTGCGACATTTAAGATATGTAAGAAACCCTATAAATACCCTATTGATTGAGGAATGATGTTGATGTGAGTTACACATACCATACATGCCAGTCATTGCATTCCTGCCTCATTTATCACCAGCCTCTCCGACAGTCACCATACCTGGTTATAAACACAATAGTCACAAACCTGCAACAGCTGTGGCCTCACTCTCCATCAGGACATACAGTGTAAAGTTCCATTTAGGATGTCTCATCAATGTACCTAATTGACTTGTAATGGAAGAATATATTAATGTACTTTGGGAAAACCCCGTTTGATGTGCAGATTAAAAAGGTCATTTACAATTTGATATTTTTATTATATGAAATACAATTTGTATCTAAATCGTGGAAAGATAAATAGTTTACCCCCAGGATTTGGATGGAGTAGTGAATTTTCATCGCCCTGCAACAATCTATGTATTTTTGTCACACTCTAAAGTCGAGATTGGGACTATAGAATGCAAAAGGGAATTGTATCTCTAAATTGCTGAAATCAATATTGATCGAAATTATACAAATAGCCAGATGGGATGTGCACTCATTTCAAAATGCAATGAAATTTATCCTTTTTGATATTGAATTATGTCAATAAAATGTCAGGTAGATGTGTGTGTTCTACAAGGTCGATATTTAGTTCACGATCCTTAATCTGTTGTTCATTACTGTGATTTGATTGGGCTCCGGGTTACGTATCATAACACAGCTGTTTCCAGTTTAACTTACAGATCTCACAAAATTTCAATTTTATTTCAGTTTAAGGTATGAGAGCATACGATGTTCTGAATTTTCTGGATTTTGTCAGAAAACAAATTCTCTGACATTTCGTTCTTTCCTGCAACATTCTGTCGACGTTACGAGTTGCTTGTTGCTCAAACCTCTTCCTCAATAAGCATTTGTAAAATTTAATTCAATCTACGATTCATCATAAAGTGCTGTACTTAATCGTTTAGTTATTTGGTCGTTACTATAATATGCATTAACCCACAAGATAACGAAGGGAAACACTTCCTCTTCAAATACTGAAGGGCAGAAGCTTTTCCAATTCAGTTTTGTATATGTTCTTAAATCTGTTAGAAAATTTAGACATCTCAGATCAGGAAATGTTCTTTTTTGTTTTTTTGTTTTTGGTTATTGTTTTCTTGTATTGTGTTTGTGAATAATTTTTTGTTTTGTTTTTTTGTTTATTGTTTAATTTGTTTTTTCTACACACCGAGGATGCTTAATGCATATATTTTATTAATTGTAGCAGCCTTTGGCCGGCAACATTGAAACAACTAAATCACACATCAATTGAAGATGGTTGATTCTTTAGACAAAAGTTTCCATGTTAGACTGAAAACCATTTCAGCTCTATATCTCTGGTCATCACTCTCTGTGTGGTGATGTCATGTCGCTTTTGAAACCTCACGTTAGTCATATTTCACATGTGTAATAAGGAAAAATATTCCATGTGAATATTATTTGGCATGATATCTACATAACTGACAGGATATGGTTGTCACCTCGTCTGGGCGGTGAAGTTAGAGGCAATTTTAAGTGATATACGAAGATCTATAGATGTTAATCACACATCTCTTGTGTCGACATACATAAACGTTTAACAAAGGACGGTCAATAATATTATGGCACCAGATGTTGTCTCGGGGATCAAACAAAAAATTGTTGTATATCTACGCCGCTACAGATATATATCGGTTCGTTCGTACGTACTTGACCTTAGAAGGGATTAACTTCAGATCGTGTGCTCCAGATAAGGTCTTTATGAATCCGTCAAATGTGGATTTCTGAATATGTTCTTAGCATTAATACAAATAAATCAATCAGATGGCAACTGCGCGTTCTTCTTTTAGAGAACTGAATACTGATGATGAACTAGAAGATAAGACTTAAGGAGTATTGTGATTCCTTTAGTTGTCTTTTAAGTTGTTAATAGGTCATACAATTATTTGTTCTACCTTTTTATCGTATAATCACTTTTCTATAGTGAATAAAGTCTGAAATTTCAGATGTTTGACCCAGATCCCGATGTCAACTGCTTCCCTCATCCCTATATGATGCATTGCTGACGTCACCTTCCGATGTTTACAAGTCGTCTGCCATCAGGGTCAGATTAACTGAACATATTGCGGAAGATTTTGAAGACATTCCTGACGATGCAAACACCAAAAATGTGATTTGTGTCTATAATGATTCGTTTTCTGAGATACCAACTGTATATATATTTTTTGGATAACAAAACATTTGTAGACTTGATTTTCTGTCAGCATGTGTTATATTGAACCCTCGAACCAAACAGTTGAAAGATCCAAAATATTTACAGCCATGTTGTATTCCTTTGCACGATTAACCTTTTGTATTCCTTTGCAAACGTTGTGAATTTTTTTGATAAAAATGACTCCACCAGTGAAAGCTACGATCAGCTGATTTAATATTCAATGGCTTGTTCCAAAACATTATCATAATTTGCGCCATCATGAACTCAATGGAAAAATTTTTTTTTTTATGGTATGAAGATTGTTCACATGACACACACGAGTGGAAAGTACTTTTCAATGCAAATTTAGACTCAGAGACAAATGGTGAAGTAGAATGTGTCCAATGCTTGTTAAAACGTTTGGTAGTTTCTAGGTTATAATCTGATCGTGACGTAACTTTATTGGATGAACTGAGTTTATGTTGTTGATAAAGAAGACGCTCACCCTTTTGGAACAACTGGTGTGATAATCTTTGAAGTTTTCTTGAGATTCGCTGTGTAAATCCTGTCTTTCTAACAATTTTGCTCTGTTTCATCGATATTGATTCTTAATCGTTATTTTGTGTACATGCCGGTAGATTTTGAGATTTTATGTTGTTGTTGATAAAGAAGACGCTTACCCTTTTGGAACAACTGGTGTGATAATCTTTGAAGTTTTCTTGAGATTCGATGTGTAAATCCTGGCTTTGTAACAATTTTGCTCTGTTTCATCGATATTGATTCTTAATCGTTATTTTGTGTACATGCCGGTAGATTTTGAGATATCCGATACTTCACAGAACTTCAGTATAGTTCACAACCATATATTTATACCACCGTTCACCTTTCATTTGGAAGAAAGCTCTCATCACAAGAGATCAAAGAAATCTTTCAGTTTAGAATGGGGCATGGTTGTGTACAGGATGCAAAAATCTATTTTTTTATAGAAGAGGGTATCGCAGATTTGCCAAAAGCTCTGTGGGGTTCTTTATAATCCAAATACTGTAAACTGACAAGGACCAAGTTATTGGATATCTTACCTGCAAGAACAATTACAAAAAAGTTTTCGTAGCACAGAGACAGGAAGCGAATATAACGTAGTTCGAACATGACGGGCACCTAATGAGTTCTGTATTAATTAATTTTTCATTTTTTTTAATATCCGCTCGATTTCTTGTAATGTCTCCGCCCGTGGCTACGATTACGTCTAGTTTGAAGAGTGAATAAAGACATAACGTTATTGTTACTACGTCTCAAGGACTGTCCACGCGGTCATTGCAGTCATATGGTGCAGCAGTGCCAAGGGGTCTAATAGTGTTACTCACGTTGTCTACGGTACGGTCATTTGTATAGTGTTATTTTTTTCTTCAACATACCGAAATTCATTGTCAGTATAGGTCGGTATAGGTCCAGAAGGTTGAAATATTGATACAAACATTGATTCTCTCTACGGTTCACATGCTGAACAATCACCATTCATACGTTGTATTAACTGTCCTTTTGTTTCACCAACAAATATGATACCACACAGAGGACACTCAATACCATAAACAACATTCGCAGTTTTACAATTTAGGGGCTCAAAGTTTCTAGTAGTATGAACTTTTTATAAGTAACTTTTGAAATATGAACAAATTTAACAATTGCTTTTTCAAAGAAAAATCTGGTTGATTTAATGGATAAAACATGATGAAATGAATGTTGAACATAAATCATTCACGGAATTTAAAATATACAGTATATCTCAAGCAAGATTTACACTTTATCTAGCAAGCAGGCGAGAAACACGTAACAATGTCTTGATGTTACTCCTTATCAACAGTTTTCAAGGATAGACTATACCAATAAAGTATAAGTTGTATTATATTAAAGAATATACACAATCAAAAACTATCGACACACTAGTAGGTGAAAGTGGTTTGATTTTCAAAATTAGCGGTCCATTTTCAAATTACAAAAAATAAAAGAATATGAAAAAACTTTTAACAAACAACAAAAAGAACAATATTATAACCTTTGTTACATGACATAATCAAGTTTGTCGATCTGTTAGCCGAAACTCTGGGCGACCATGTTCTTGGCATCATTCGCCTCATTTTCCACGTCACGAGCGTACTGTTCTAAGATTTGTGCGTGATGTTCTATATTGGTCAGTATCTGAAGCAGTCGACTTTTGGAGTAAACTGAAAGAGAAATTAGACATATTACACACTATTTCCGCAATATATAAATGTTTGGACAGATTTACAAACCGATTTGGACGTCAATACAATTATACACGAGTATCTCATCAATTTTTATGACTTTGAATCTTACGGAGGAAAAGATAATATAAAGTTGATCGTTTCTTTTTAATTATATTGACAATGTTTGTTTCATGACAATGATTAATGTTGAAAGAGTTATCTCCCTTGGATCGTTTCAAGAACACTTTTTCAGAACTTTCTGCAACGTCATCCTCGATACTCGAGAGATTAGGCTCACTACTGCTCTCATCACCCATGGATCTTGTCATGGCCAAATTGAATGTCCCATGTGCGACTAATTGATTAATTCTCATGAAACCCGCTCTAGACCAATCAAATGACTTAACTTGTGCCTTCAATCTTGCAGGGAAACGTGCCATAGGTGCAGAGAGCAAAAGTCATCGTAGCAACTTGAGTATGGCGGATGTCGCAATATTAAAATATAAACTACATGTCTAGTACTGATGGTGCGGTATTTATTCTATATTCTGTCTAGTACTGAGGGTGCGGTATTTATTCTATATTCTGTCTAGTACTGAGGGTGCGGTATTTATTCTATATTATGTCTGGTACTAAGGGTGCGGTATTTATTCTATATTCTGTCTAGTACTGAGGGTGCGGTATTTATTCAATATTATGTCTAGTACTGATGGTGCGGTATTTATTCTATATTATGTCTAGAACTGATGGTGCGGTATTTATTCTATATTATGTCTAGTATTGAGGGTGCGGTATTTATTTTATATTATGTCTAGTACTGAGTGTGCGGTATTTATTCTATATTCTGTCTAGTACTGAGGGTGCGGTATTTATTCTATATTCTGTCTAGTACTGACGGTATGGTATTTATTCTATATTATGTCTAGTACTGACGGTATGGTATTTATTCTATATTATGTCTAGTACTGAGTGTGTGGTATTTGTTCTATAATATGTCTAGCACTGAGTGTGTAACATGTATTCTTTATGATGTCTAGTACTGACGGTATGGTATTTATTCTTTATGATGTCTAGTACTGACGGTATGGTATTTATTCTATATTATGTCTGGTACTGAGGGTGCGGTATTTATTCAATATTATGTCTAGTACTGAGGGTGCGGTATTTATTCAATATTATGTCTAGTACTGAGGGTGCGGTATTTATTCTATATTATGTCTGGTACTGAGGGTGCGGCATTTATTCAATATTATGTCTAGTACTGAGGGTGCGGTATTTATTCAATATTATGTCTGATACTGAGGGGGCGGCATTTATTCTATATAATGTCTGGTACTGAGGGTGCGGTATTTATTCTATATTATGTCTGGTACTGAGGGTGCGGTATTTATTCTATAGTATGTCTAGTACTGAGGGTTCGGCATTTATTCAGTATTATGTCTGGTACTGAGAGTGCGGCATTTATTCTATACTCTGTCTAGTACTGAGGGTGCGGTATTTATTCAATATTATGTCTAGTACTGATGGTGCGGTATTTATTCTATATTATGTCTAGTACTGAGGGTGCGGTATTAATTCTATATTATGTCTAGTACTGAGGGTGCAGTATTTATTCGATATTATGTCTAGCACTGAGGGTGCGGCATTTATTCAATATTATGTCTGGTACTGAGTGCGGCATTTATTCAATATTATGTCTAGCACTGAGGGTGCGGTATTTATTCTATACTCTGTCTAGTACTGAGGGTGCGGTATTTATTCTATATTATGTCTAGTACTGAGGGTGCGGTATTTATTCTATATTATGTCTAGTACTGAGGGTGCGGTATTAATTCTATATTATGTCTAGTACTGAGGGTGCAGTATTTATTCGATATTATGTCTAGCACTGAGGGTGCGGTATTTATGTTTTGTGTTGTTATGTATAACACAGACAATGCAGCACTCGTCTGTGTTTAGCGTATAAATGTACCTTTGACTGTTACCCATCCCTTCATCAAGCCTTAAACTTTCTCCATGATGTAACTAAATTTCCACTTACCGTTAGGGGTGGAATAGTTATAGCCAGACGTTGTATATTCGTGTTGTCCATTTGAACAAAAGCAGCATCCGAAATAGTCAAAATTGGGAGGTCCATTACAGGTGTAGCAGGTATCGTTGTCACATGTGTCGTTTACATCTGACGACAACACGTCATAGCTCAACGAAAATCCGGATCTGACAACCGTGGAATCCGTGGTAAACCGTAGTTTCAAAATGTCGCTTGTTGTATGGACTGTAAACATGCAAGCAAATTTTTATTAACTGTGACACTAATAACACGTATATACTTACTACAAACTTCGGTTATTTGTTCATGGATTTGAATTTGATGTCATTAGATGTGACTAATGAAACAACAAATTGATTAAAACAAGTGTGAGATCTGCGTAAGGTTTTAACACGCATGGTGACACAAGAGAGAAATCTTCATTAGGTTTTAGCACGCAGGGTGACTTAAGACTGAGAACTTTATAAGGTTTTAACCCGCATGGTGACACAAGAGTGAGGTCTTAATACGCAGGAGTCAGTTAATGAAATACGAGAAATAAATCAAGCGTTTTAAAAACTGAGTATACTATTAATTTGCTCTCATCATTTGTCCGTTTGACTGTTCGGCCTCATGCAACCAATGTTTGAGGCAAACTAAGTTCAGCATGTGACACTTAGTAAATATTGCAACGTTAAGGTCGATATGGTCTGTACAGCAAGATAATGGAATAACAATGTCGACGGCTGTGTTTATATTATATATATACCAGAACATGTGTAAATATGTGTGTTACGGTTTGTATATACCGGAACATGTCAATATGTGTGTTACGGTTTGTATATACCGGAACATGTAAAAAAATGTGGGTTACGGTTTGTATAAACGGAACATGTTAATAAATGTGTTACGATTTGTATATACCGGAACATGTCAATAAATGTATGTTACGGTTTGTATATACCGGAACATGTCAATAAATGTGTTACGATTTGTATATACCGGAACATGTCAATAAATGTGTTACGGTTTGTATATACCGGAACATGTCAATAAATGTGTTACGATTTGTATATACCGGGACATGTCAATAAATGTGTTACGGTTTGTATATACCGGAACATGTCAATAAATGTGTTACGGTTTGTATATACCGGAACATGTCAATAAATGTGTTACGGTTTGTATATACCGGAACATGTCAATAAATGTGTTACGGTTTGTATATACCGGAACATGTCAATAAATGTGTTACGGTTTGTATATACCGGAACATGTCAATAAATGTGTTACGGTTTGTATATACCGGAACATGTCAATAAATGTATGTTACGGTTTGTATATACCGGAACATGTCAATAAATGTGTTACGATTTGTATATACCGGAACATGTCAATAAATGTGTTACGGTTTGTATATACCGGAACATGTCAATAAATGTGTTACGATTTGTATATACCGGAACATGTCAATAAATGTGTTACGGTTTGTATATACCGGAACATGTCAATAAATGTGTTACGGTTTGTATATACCGGAACATGTCAATAAATGTGTTACGGTTTGTATATACCGGAACATGTCAATAAATGTGTTACGGTTTGTATATACCGGAACATGTCAATAAATGTGTTACGGTTTGTATATACCGGAACATGTCAATAAATGTGTTACGGTTTGTATATACCGGAACATGTCAATAAATGTGTTACGGTTTGTATATACCGGAACATGTCAATAAATGTGTTACGATTTGTGTACACTCAAACAGCAATGTCAGTATCTGTGTGTTACGGTTTGTATATATTTTAACAACTGTGACGTTTTATAGATATTTGAAGATCAATGCAGACCATTGTCTTCACTCTTCAATTTTCATCAAATAGCAATCTTGTTGTGCTTATGTGTTGATGAAATCAACACTGCTTTGTCATATAATGACACGGGGTATGGGAGCTCACTTGTGCCGGAATTAAAGTGATCAAAATGTAGCTGAAACTTACCGTAATAGGTACGAGACGTGTTAACCAAGTAATTATCACACATTCTAACTCCACTGGTTTCCTCAGAGTTGATGGTGAGAGAGTCACACGAGCAACCACCACACTTTTCAAGTTCGAAAAAATCGAATCTGTAATGTAGACAATGACAAGAGTATAAGTAGCAAGTAGGATAGCGACTACTGATAGGAACGACTAGCAGGATAGCGACAACTGATTCGGAACGGCATGTAGGATAGCGACAACTGGTCAGGAACGGCATGTAGGATAGCGACAACTGGTCAGGAACGGCATGTAGGATAGCGACAACTGGTCAGGAACGGCATGTAGGATAGCGACAACTGATCAGGAACGGCATGTAGGATAGCGACAACTGATTAGGAACGGCATGTAGGATAGCGACAACTGGTCAGGAACGGCATGTAGGATAGCGACAACTGGTCAGGAACGGCATGTAGGATAGCGACAACTGGTCAGGAACGGCATGTAGGATAGCGACAACTGGTCAGGAACGGCATGTAGGATAGCGACAACTGATTCGGAACGGCATGTAGGATAGCGACAACTGATTAGGAACGGCAGGCAGAAAAGCGGCAACTGATTCGGAACGGCAAGCAGGATAGCGACAACTGACCAGAAACGGCATGAAGGTTAGCGAAAATTGATTAAGAGCGGCAAGCAGGATAGCGACAACTGGTCAGGAACGGCAAGCAGGATAGCGACTACTGATCAGGAACTGCAAGCAGGAGAGCGACAACTGATCAGGAACTGCAAGCAGGAGAGCGACAACTGATTCGGAACGGCAAGCAGGATAGCGACAACTGATCAGGAACTGCAAGCAGGATAGCGACAACTGATCAGGAACTGCAAGCAGGATAGCGACAACTGATTCGGAACGGCAAGCAGGATAGCGACAACTGATCAGGAACTGCAAGCAGGAGAGTGAGAACTGGTCAGGAACGGCAAGCAGGATAGCGACAACTGATTCGGAACGGCAAGCAGGATAGCGACAACTGATCAGGAACTGCAAGCAGGAGAGCGACAACTGATCAGGAACTGCAAGCAGGATAGCGACAACTAATTAGGAACGGCAAGCAGGATAGCGACAACTGATCAGGAACTGCAAGCAGGATAGCGACAACTGATTAGGAACTGCAAGCAGGATAGCGACAACTGATCAGGAACTGCAAGCAGGATAGCGACAACTGATTCGGAACGGCAATCAGGATAGCGACAACTGATTCGGAACGGCAAGCATGATAACGACAACTGATTAGGAACGGTAAGTTGGATATCACAAGAACGCCAGCATGTTAAATTACGTTTCATTAGCGGCATTCCAGTCTGTACAGTTATCGTTCTCCAAACGAGAATCGCAGTTATGACATCGAAAATCATTAACATACTGACTGAAATTCTTATTGCATCGCTTCTCATTTATATTCTCTATAACCGCGACTTTCCGCATCCACGAGAACTCGTTATGTCAACGAAGTACATGTTTGCATTAAATTAGGGAAACTATCAACCGATGGATGCGCACACACATTTGTATAAGTAACACTTGCTCGCCAGTCTGGTGTTCGGCAATGGTTCTTGTCAAATAGGAACATAGAGACGACAGGATGTATCCGCCCCCATTTAACTGTTTTATGTCAGGTGTTTCTTTCATGATTGAAACAGACTACTTAAATCTCCTCGATTCCTTTCCATTACCGAACAAACCCAATGATACAACACAGTGTACCGTATGCACCACATACAAAGTAACTTACCTCAAAGCAACAGTTTTACGAGTGCCAATAACTCCGCCCACGTCAATGTTATACTCGCAGTCAGTGCCGCTTGGGTACAGGTGGTTAGGTGCCCCCGGGGTCCTGATGATCCCCGAAGAAGCGAAGAAATATCCTCTCCCACATGACCTGTCTGTAACATATAAATGACTTGATCCGATATCAGCCTGTTGGAACTACACTGTGGTCTGGCGTCAAATTCAACGATTGCCACCTGAATCAAACCTCACGTTGACTACCTTTGTTAACAATTTTGGTTAAAGAAAATTACACAGAAAAGAGTAAAAGAATCTGGAATGGAAGAAGAAAAAAAAACAACGGTTCTATCTAGCATTTTTTTTTTATATTTCATCGTTTTTACAAAAAACATTTAACGCTAAATATCTTTAAGCTTGCAAATAATTGGTAACACTCCCCTTTATATGTTGTCTTTATAAGTAGACATTTCTCTATTAAAGTGTCTTTCAGTATGCCATTACCATCTGCCATACCTTTTCCAAAGTGTCTTTCAGTATGTCATTACTATTTGCCATACCTTTTCCCAAGTATCTTTCAGTATGTCATTACCATCTGCCATCCCTTTTTCCAAGTGTCTTTCAGTATGTCATTACCATCTGCCATCCCTTTCCCAAGTGTCTTTCAGTATGCCATCACCATCTGCCATACCTTTCCCAAGTGTCTTTCAGTATGTCATTGCCATCTACCACCCTTTTCCCAAGTGTCTTTCAGTATGTCATTACCATCTGCCATCCCTTTTTCCAAGAGTCTTTAAGTATGTCATTACCATCTGCCATCCCTTTTTCCAAGTGTCTTAAATATGTCATTACCATCTGCCATTCCTTTTTCCAAGTGTCTTTCAGTATGTCATTGCCATCTACCACCCCTTTCCCAAGTGTCTTTCAGTATGTCATTACCATCTACCACCCCTTTCCCAAGTGTCTTTCAGTATGTCATTGCCATTTACCACCCCTTTCCCAAGTGTCTTTCAGTATGTCATTACCATCTACCACCCCTTTCCCAAGTGTCTTTCAGTATGTCATTACCATCTGCCATCCCTTTTTCCAAGTGTCTTTCAGTATGTCATTACCATCTGCCGTTCCTTTCCTTATTGATTTTACTGATAAAATTAATCCAAATACACAATATATTGGATCATGCCAATACGGTATACATGCAGGTGAAACAGGATGGTAAACAAATGCTTCATTGGCCACTGTTTTACTGAAAATTGATCGAGGTATAATAAGTGAAGGCACAAAAAGTATTGATATCTTCATATCAGTTACAGCATATTGGCTACAGGTTAGTTAGTCATGTTTGTATTACGGATGTATAAAATTATATTTTATATTTATATGTGTAAAATAACCTTATTTCTCCACATCCGAGGGTGAATACATGTTTAATACGAGATCTTATTACAAATAAAGGAACCGTGCACTTGTTGTCGGAATGTACCAAGTAAGAACAAAAATCTGGTGATTCTAAATTTAAAAGAACATATCACGTGTCTCTATTCCAATCGTTTTGGAGGTAGATGAAAATTGAAACAACCATGCTGGGGTCTCTTTGAAGTCAAAATTCATCAGTTAAATCTAAAAGGCGTGATACTTAAAGAAATGACAAACGTGAAGGCACACGCTCAGCTGTTGCTGAATCAACATGATGGCCGTTAACTGTTAAGTCCATTTGTTAAAAGCATACGATGAAGATGTGTTTCTTTAAAGTCTCGTGACTTGCGTGCAGTACCATGAAACACAAAATTACCAGAATTAGGAAGAATGTTTGTTACCGTATGTAGCGGTGGTCGTTTCCCACGAATAGTGTGGTCGCCAGGGATAGTACCCTGTTGTACTTGCTGGACGCCAAGGATGATGACTGGTGGTATGCCAAGGACGATAACTGGTACTTTCTGGGTGCCAAGGACGATAACTGGTGGTATGCCAAGGACGATAACTGGTACTTTCTTGGCGCCAAGGACGATAACTGGTGGTTTGCCAAGGACGATAACTGGTACTTTCTGGGTGCCAAGGACGATAACTGGTGGTTTGCCAAGGACGATAACTGGTACTTTCTGGGTGCCAAGGACGATAACTGGTGGTTCGCCAAGGACGATGACTGGTGGTTTGCCAAGGACGGCGAGTGGTCGTATGGTGGTACCATGGATAGTAGCTAGTGGTTGTCTCCTGGTTCGACGTTGACTGATGATCGTGTACACAATAGCAATGTGTACACTTGTAACTGCTATAACTGTAAGACAAATTATGAGAGAAGAAATAAAGTTACGGTGATAATTTTAAAAATTAAACTCTTCAGGTACTCTTGACACTCAAGATTAATTGAAAATCGAAAATCCGAATTACAAAAGTCGATATAGGAAGTCAACTCACTCCATGTGCTGCTTGAAACCATACGGACAAGCCGGACAGAAGACAGGTGGACACAAGGATGCTAAAAAAAGTAACGCCAGTATAAGTTATACAGTTTTGACAACAATTTTTAATCCCCCCTCCCCCCTCCCCCCACCCTCCCCCCTGACACTTTTTTTTAACTTGACTTTTTTATTTAGTGTATTTTAGCATATGACAGTACAAAGTACAACTCAAAGATACGTTTCACAGCCAGATACATATTCTTTCACTTGTGTATTTTTTGGACGGCATATCTGTACATATCAATACATATGTAAACAGCGGATCTATTCTGATCACACTCTGGGAAAAAGAATAAAGAATATAAATGCATAAAGAATATTTATGACTTAAACAGATGGAACTACTCACTCATTGGCGATGTGTTTTCCTGGTATCTTCTGCAGTAACAGTAAGGACACACACTCGTGTAGCTGTAGAGGGAATCAGAATACACTGTACATAAACAAAATATATAACAGCGACAAAATATGATAGGACACGGAAATATGAATAGATATATACAGACACTTGTTTTCACTATCAAAGCTAAAGTTCACAGCACGTGATTTTGCTTGAATAATACACGAATCAGGAGACGCATTACCTTTTGGAAACCCTGATCTTATTTCTATTTTACTCTTTTAAGTTTTTGTGTGGAAATCTTTTCTTTCATTCATATTTTGCCTTAGGTTATTCTGTTTACCTGTTGGTATCGCGGATGTCACCTGTTTCATGCGGAATTCAAAAGACAATGATTGGACATCGTGTTCTTACGCCGATCTTGAAATTTATACGTAGGACAATAATTTAACTACGACAGATAGTTATGTATCTAAAAAAATATCGTTATGGAACATTTTCAGTACTGACGATGTGGTTATCATATAAAACACGGAAAATCAACACGATTTCGACTAAGAATAAAAATAGAACTTACAGTAGAGTTGTATTTTTTCTGTTTTATTTGGCGATATTTCTACAGTAATTCAAACCTTAGTAATGTTACGTTCTTAATACGGAGAACTCCGGTTTTGGCAGGTTGACTTCCATTCAATTTTTAAATTTTGTATATTTCATAAATGAACAACACTAACTTCAAACCAATATTTCATCATAATGTCTAGTATTGTTTGAAATGAATACATATCTTAGAAAATGGCTTGCGTAGGGCATGGTTGTTATCCAAAATAAAATCTGCATTAAAAAATGTACACTTCAGACATTTGACTTTTTTTTTTTTACATCGAGGGAAAAATGATAAAATAACATAGTGCTAAATATGACATTAAGCTTACAAAAATATTTCTAAGAAATTGAACTACTGAAAACAGTGTCTAGTTATGTCTCTGTAGAATTATCACAGTGAATAGTATCTATATTTTACCTATCATTTGCCATATAGAAATGCGTAATTAGGGCCAAGCGATCAGTATAACTGATATGTTTAAGTATGCAACATCGCGAAATTGGCTGAACAGTCGACATTCAAGAGTCAGAATTTGAATGTTGCACAGCGCGACATCTGATACCTAACATTTATAGTTGGTGTAGTAACACTACACAGTCCAAACATGGTGAAATTTAGATTACTGGCTGTCAGTGGACAGGTTTGTACACCGTAGTAATTTGCAAAATGTGAATCCTCGTTTTATAATGACATTAAAATCACGCGAAATTTAATAGTTCTCTGATGATATGATATTCACAATTTTCTTACTGATATTCAGTAGAAATATAATTTTAACAATGTTTGTATTTACTAGTGAAAATATTTTTTCTTAAAAATGAATAAAAGTGAAATGAATTGTTTAAGATTTTTCAGTGATATAGTGGACAAATCTGATAGATGGCTGATAAGTTAAAGAACAATTCTCTGTGTAGTCTATACCACAATACAACAAGTGTGTACCTACTCATATTCTGGTGTTTGTCCGACTTCACAATACGGACAGGCGATTGGAGGACAGACTGACCCTCCGGCCAGGAACGAGTCGTTGCCTGACCTCTGAGTAACCTCGTACGTTGCGTAAAAACCCGGACGACGTTGGTTAGAATTAGACTGAAACGTTATCCACACGTAGTCGTCTAAGTTGTCCACTATAAAATAATGTTGGTGCTTATAATCAGTAAAACAAACACGCGAAAATGATAACGATATAAGACATTTTACTGACAATGTCATACTTTTCATTAAAACTACCAAAGACATCTATGTTTTGTAGTAAAACATTGTCATAAAACCACAGCCACGTATATCCCTTATTGTAAGGAATGTAAACAGTAAACTTTTCATTAATAATTAAATTTGATTTAATTAATAATCCTTCTATATTACTCTGTATAATACGCTATTGCCGGTTATTTTCGCGGGGATAATATTTTCGCTATTTAGCGGTACAATAAAGTGATCGCGAAAATTACGCCCACTGAAATAATGGGACACGTGTATGTAAGATGTCCTTTAACATCCAGATCGCGAAATCTTGATAAATCGATCGTTTTAACGAAAATCGTGAAAATTTTGACCCGCAAAAATTACCAATAATACGGTATGATCGATAGTATCCAACGAGTTAAACTGTGCCACGTGAATTAACACCGGGATCACAATTATTAGAAGAAAATAGTTGACAGTGGACGCATCAGAAAAGTGCACTATAAATATCAGATATTTCCTTGGGCTCAATATTTGTGGTTTTTACTATAGATCTTATTTCGTTGGTTCTTGATTGCGATGTTTTTAAACAGTACTCTCCAAATTCACTTAAACTAAAATTCTATCTTATATCAAAGATTGCTTATTTGATTAAAACGATCCATGGAAAAATACAAAACAAACAAACATGACAACTAATAACTTAGAGTACCAAGTTTTACTTACAGGCAATTGTACAAAAGAAACACAAATGGATTATACCATTTAGTACAGAAGAGCTAAACCAAGCATTAAACTGTATGATACAGCTGTAACGTCTTCGATGACTATTTCTTGTAAAGATAGGAACAAACAGGACCACTAAATTGTAATCCAATCTTCTGAAAATGGGAACTAGCTCAATTCAACAGATTTTAAATTATATCAATTTTCTAAGGAAACGCGATCACGAAGACAAAATGATTATGGTTCATCAAGACAGAAACAGACAATTGTTGTAAACAAAAGCATGTTTGTAAAATAGAACCTTTGACATATTTTGATAAAAAGCAAGCACAGGAAATTTATCTGAAATACATTACAGAAAAATCTGAGAGTCGACGATTTGTATTTGAAAAAAAAATACAAATATTTATTTCGTCAGTACACCAATACTACTTCTATAACAAACAGCACTTATCTTATTCGTTAACACAGCTGTATACGATTAAACAACCTGACAAGAGCTTTTTCTTTAAGTCATACTTACAATATACCTGTCCGTTTCCATTAGGAAGGGCAGCTCCACAATACTTCAATGGTTTCGCTAGCTTGTAGTTTTCTATCTCTATGTAGTCACAGTCACAATTGCTGCAGTACTCCAAATCAAAGATTTTAAAGTTGATTTCTAAGTCACTCTTTTCTCTGCCGAGATAAATATCATACCGGAAGCGGTAGTTATCGGGATAGTTGCCAGGGTAACCAGGACTCATAATTACGCCGAGTCTGTCTCTACTTGTTGTTCCAGAATATCCTCCCGTGGTGTGTGCTGTGGATGGATAGAACATTGATCCAAAACAGATATGTAGAAGGAAATATCTTCTTAGTCTTGTTTGTCCTTGTAATCGGAATATAATGCTTGAAGAATTCATATAGACATAAAGAGACAATTTCAGATAAATACACTATGACAGGAAAGCGAGAACGGCACCGCAAACTATGGGAAACAAAATGGTTGCAAAAACATAGGTATTGCTGTTAAATTCCGATATAACAATTATATATATATATCTGACGTAGTATGAAGAGTTCCTAAAGAGATGACAGGGTTATTGATGAAATAGCAGAATAACATAGACAAATTGGTCGGTATTCTTTTCAGTTCATCGATCGAACAATTTACTGGAACAGTGCTCTTTTATAGTGTTTGGGACAAAAGCGTTCAATATAGCGTTTCAAACATCAGCGCGTTTTATAGTGTTTGAAACATCAGCGCGTTTTATAGTGTTTGGAACATCAGTGTGTTTTATAGTGTTTGAAACATCAGTGTGTTTTATAGCGTTTGGAACATCAGTGTGTTTTATAGCGTTTGAAACATCAGTGTGTTTTATAGCGTTTGGAACATCAGTGTGTTTTATAGCGTTTGAAACATCAGTGTGTTTTATAGTGTTTGGAACATCAGTGTGTTTTATAGTGTTTGGAACATCAGTGTGTTTTATAGCGTTTGAAACATCAGTGTATTTTATAGCGTTTGGAACATCAGTGTGTTTTTTAGTGTTTGGGACATCAGTATTCTATATAGTGTTTTGGACATTAGTGTGTGCTACAGTGTTTGGAACATCAGTGTGTTTTATAGCGTTTGAAACATCAGTGTGTTTTATAGTGTTTGGAACATCAGTGTGTTTTATAGTGTTTGGGACATCAGTGTGTTTTATAGTGTTTGGGACATTAGTGTTCTATACAGTGTTTGGGACATTGGTATTAGATATTAACGCTTGCAGCTTCTACGCTCGATTTCAACCTAAGACAACGATCGTATATCTAAAGGTGAACTGCTAATACAAAATAAAGAGAATAACAATATGTTGACAAAATCTTAATTTATAAACAAAGCCGATAAAAATATTTAAAAAAGTCCAAAGAAAGAAGGACAAGGTAACCCGAAGCTTCGTTGTCTTCTGTAGTTTGGTCAAAGTGCACGTTCTCAAATAAGCAAATAATCAACAATTAAAAAGGTAAATCAATATCATCCAATGACGCCTTGGTTTTTCTTTGATCTTTTCCTGGTGATAAATCCCATACCATGCGATATCACATATGAACACATGAACTCTGTATAGCCCTACATTGAATATAAGTTCACGTTGCAGCTGTGTAACTGATACTGAGCACGGACTGATGCCTCAATGTCTTGTAACTCCAATTCATACTTGTCGACGGCCTGTGATAATGTTATATCATCGAGATCGCCGAAAACACCGGCGTTGATGTTTCTAAGATTTTTCCATACGTTGTCCAGCTCCGACATCTCTGACATCTACTGATGAAACGAATTATTACTGTGACAGAAAATGGGATGGGTAAGAAAATAGCGGGAAAATCATTGACTTAACGGTTCAGGCTTCAAGTTTTCCGTCAGGACCAGACGCAATGATAGAGTTTATTGGAGATGTGTACAGAGACCGTGCCCGGCCACTATTACAACACTGAACAACATTCCAGTTACCTTTGGAAATATCTATGACCATCCCGGAGATACCATCAAACTGGCAGCGAATGTGTTTCTCAATGATGTTAAACAACGTTGTCGTGAAGAAGTTTGTCCTATTCTTACTATCTTTGATGAGGCTTTAGGAAATCTGCGTGATAGAGATTTTGATGATGATGTTGGTGAGATGATTTCAAAGATTCCCAGATTTGAGAGTTGTAAAGCATCCCTCTACAAAGCCCGTTCAAAGACTTTGCCAAAACTTCCATCTACACAACAAGAAGTGGACTTACAGGGCGCCTAGACGGAAACCCCAGCAGGAGAGAGATTTCTTCTTTGTGATGACGCCGACGGTAACTGACACAGAAGTTTACTTTACTCAAGGATTCTGTGACTCAGAGGAGCTTTGTCTTCGCTCCAGAGACAGTGTATCTGGAGGAAAGTACAAGGATGTGGACTGGCTGGACGCTATCGCTAGGATGACGAACTAAAAACTCTAGTGAGACGCGCAGCTGTGCCTCCGTTAGTGCCCAATGATCAAGTTGAGGATGTGTGGTTTTCTGTCTTAGACAGCAATGAGCCCTGAAACTACACGATTTAAGGACTACGTTACGGAAACGTGGGTTGAGGGACAGATTGTAGCTTTGTGGAACCATTATGACAACGATGGCCTACGGACAACAAATCATGTTGAGGGATGGCACAGCAAGGTCAACAAGCTCTGTCAGCATGTGCACCCGAACATCTTTGCGATTGTTCAGCATCTGAAGAAAATTCAGGCTACCGATGAACCAAAGATGATCCAAATTTCGACCGGAGATAAACCAAGACCAAAGAAGAGGAAATACCACCACATAGACTATCGCCTTAATCAACTAAAGGACCAATACAGAAATGGACAAATTGATGTGCTCGGTTATGCTGATTCCCATCTACTGCATTTGCAGTAAAATAATGAAATAAACTGCATGTGTTGCGTCAAAAAAGAAATATCAGTTATGAAAAATTCTGCTGTGAAAAAAACATTCTAGTACCGAATTGAATTAATTCATTTCCATGATTCTATAATTTAAAAAAATAGTTATAAGTGTACTTTCTGATATTCCAATGTTTTTCTATAATTTATAATTTAAAAATAGTAGCTATATGTGTACTTTCTTATACTTCTATGTTTTTTTTTTATAATTCAAAAATGGTAGCTATGTTTCTTATATATAGGGTATATAAGTTAATACTGTAAATGCATTCAATGTGAAATAAAAATACATCTAATTCTTAAATATCCAGAGATATTTTTCTTTTGAAAGTAGGAAGTTTTATGAAGCAGCCTATAGGTTGTGTTCCCATTTCGCCTTAGTTACATATTTTGGTATAAAACAGGTGGAAATATGCTTAGGCAAAATGGGAATTGGGCTAAGGCAAAGTGGAATTTAGGAAAAATGTGGAAAGATAAACAAACCAATTACATGCAGCGGTTGTTGTTTTTACAATAACTCATTCTACAGTTAAATCTTAATTATAATCGACCAAAGGCCATATTTATTTAAGATATATATAATATGTAAAATATATATGAAGAAATAAAAATAACTCAATTTTTTGAACTTTTACATTCTAACACTAAATCAATTGAAAATATTTAAATGAATATTGAATTTATTTCTTATTTCTTTTATAATTCAAAGGAACAAATCTTATTTTAAAAAAATGTATGTTTATAAGCAACTTATATTTTTAGTTATAATTTTAGATAGTTTTTCTTGGGGGTATATGTATGCAAAAATATCATAGTAGATTTTTTACAGACTGAATGATCTGTTCACCCTAAAAGTAACAACTTGAACTAACACTAGACTTGCAGAGATTCAGCTTGGAATAACTCCTCATTTCAGCTTACATGTTATATAGACATTTACCAGAATGCTTAAGTATCAGTTTCACAATCAACATGACAGGAGTTATGCTACACGAAGACTTTTTAGAGACTAACAGAGGTGGTAGACATCTTGTATGGAATGGCTTTATATATCGCCATAACAACAAGAGGGACACATGGATATCATGGAAGTGTACCGAGCAAAACTGCAAAATTATGCACCCGAGATGACGTACCCATAAAGATAGGCCAGGTTCACAATCATCTACCAGACCGAGCAGCAGTAGAAGGCAAGAAGATTATGAACAACGTACGAACGAGAGCTAAAAACGAACTTCGTCCACTACCATCTATGGTGAAGAAATAACCAAACTCCGAACTACTCCATGGGATGCCCAGAGTACAATAAACTAAAGAAGAGAGTAAAGACAGCACATCCCAACATCTACAAGATCATCGAGAAGTTCCAGCGACTGCAAGCAGCTACCGAGGTGAAGATAATCCAATATGCAGCAGGCGGACAGAGACGACAGAAAGCAAGGAACTACAGAGAAGTAGAAGAACGTCTAGCAAACCTAAAGACTGATCTAATGAATGGGACCAAAGACTTCATCCAGTATGGAGACGCAGCATCCTACATTCTGAAACTCAGTGACTAGTTACACAGCGTTGTGACATTTATAGTGCTTGAGTCATGTAAGGACTCTTTATTATATCCTATTGAAGCAGAGAACCTTTTGAACATTAGTGCTTGATTTAAATGATTGATATGATAAGATTGATAGTGCTCAACTATAAGATTGTGTTGCATGAAATGTATACTTGTCTGTATCAATATATATTATATATGTATAATGTTTATTATGTTTGTATTGATGACATTGAAAGAAGAATACTAGTATATAGCTAAATAAACATTATTAAATTAATTATTTGGCTTCCTTATTTTGTATATCCAAGGTTCCATTTCGCCTTAGCTGACTCCTTCCTACCTGGTTTTTGGCAATAAGGCGAAATGGGAATAATTTTTTACCATGAAATTGACAGCTAAGGCGAAATGGGAGTAAGCCTTCTATAGTCTTACCTGTAATTATCTCCTATTGTTCTACCTTTCACACCTAGTCTTATCTGGCCAACAAAATACCTTATACCTGTATACCCCAAAAATCAAAATGTTGGCTAAGTGAGCAGACACCGACTTGACACTTTCCACTAATCGGCTCCTAATAGGTTCTAGCTCCGCCCCTTGGCACGTGGATGAGAAAACCTCGGTGGCCATTGGATAAAACAGATACATAATTGACACTCGTAATTTATCGGATATATCACACGAGTCCGAATATCCGGTACATTACTCATGCCCATTATGTATCTATTACATATCATCGTCACGTGACTTTCGATACGTATGGCGTGTATATTGTATATATATATATTTTTAAATAAGGCAAAGTATTAAACCATATTATCTCATATTGTGTCATTCAACAACGCTGCGTTTTCATTTATTTAGAAATTTTGGAAAATCCATGCACGTCTTTAACTTGAAGTTATGATGTACCTGAGCAACACCAAAATGTCACGAATGCCAAGGAAGTTTAATCACCCCGACTCTATTCCATATTTATCGAACGGCCGCTATCACGGGCTCTCGGCCTTTTAACAGACGTTTTATTGTCCAATCTTGCTTAACATGCCAAAATAAAAGAACTGTTATCAGATATCAGATGTTCCTAAGTGTTTTTCTTTCTTGCATAAAAATCATATTCCTACTCCTTCACCATAAAAACGTTTGCAAAGTTCCTTAGTTTTGTCGAACATTTACTTAAATTTTTACTTAAACTTGAAACTAACGACTACTCTGTCAATACACTTATTATTTGATATGAACACACGTTTTAAAAAATAAGTGAGAGTACTGAATGAGTTACCAGCTCTGTTTCTGGGATCTTCGCCATTCTCTGCCTCGTCCTGTAACAGAAAAAAAAATCCCATACCATCATCAAATCCATCAAAGTTGCCCGTCAAACATGGAATTATTTGTTGGTTTTGATAAAGAAAATTTTAGTGAAACAACAGCGAATATATATAAAATATATTGACACCAAACTTATATTGAGGATGGCATGTAGTGTCAATATAAAACAACTGCAGTCTTTGTGAAATTAACTTTAAAAGATTTCCTCAGTCTTGTTGAATTCCACACTTTGATTTACCTCCTGTCCACGAACCACCAACAGCAACACCAGAAAAACCAGCAACCGGATGTACACGAACCCCATCCTTGTCCTCACATCAACAAGAGGACGACACTCAATGAGCTCTTTCAGTGCGTCCCGTTACTAATAAACCATATAAATCCGATACTGACAAAATCCTGGAGACGCGACAATGTACGTCTTACTTGTGGTATCTTCGAGTCGCTGATAACCTACTTACACTAGACGCATGAATCATCTGTTTGTGGAAAAACATTTGTTGACTAACAGTTTTAAATAACAGCTATGTCATTACCGGAATGAAAGTGAGAAATTTACTTGAATGCGGTAATGTTATTTTATACGTGGTGGTGTTATTGTCCGGCAGTAATGTTATTTTTTACCTGGTAGTGTTATTGTCTGACAGTAATGTTATTTTATACGTGGTAGTGTTATTGTCTGACAGTAATGTTATTTTATACGTGGTAGTGTTATTGCCTGACAGTAATGTTATTTTATATACTGTAGTAATGTTATTTTTTACCTGGTAGTGTTATTGTCTGACAGTAATGTTATTTTATACGTGGTAGTGTTATTGTCTGACAGTAATGTTATTTTATACTTTTATACGTGGTAGTGTCTGACAGTAATGTTATTTTATACGTGGTAGTGTTATTGTCTGACAGTAATGTTATTTTATACGTGGTGGTGTTATTGTCTGACAGTAATGTTATTTTATACGTGGTAGTGTTATTGTCTGACAGTAATGTTATTTTATACGTGGTAGTGTTATTGTCTGACAGTAATGTTATTTTATACGTGGTAGTGTTATTGTCTGACAGTAATGTTATTTTATACCTGGTAGTGTTATTGTCTGACAGTAATGTTATTTTATACGTGGTAGTGTTATTGTCTGACAGTAATGTTATTTTATACGTGGTAGTGTTATTGTCTGACAGTAATGTTACTTTATACCTGGTAGTGTTATTGTCTGACAGTAATGTTATTTTATACGTGGTAGTGTTATTGTCTGACAGTAATGTTATTTTATACGTGGTAGTGTTATTGTCTGACAGTAATGTTATTTTATACGTGGTAGTGTTATTGTCGTAATGTTATTTTATACGTGGTAGTGTTATTGTAATGTTATTTTATACTTTTATACGTGGTAGTGTTATTGTCTGACAGTAATGTTATTTTATACGTGGTAGTGTTATTGTCTGACAGTAATGTTATTTTTTACTTGGTAGTGTTATTGTCTGACAGTAATGTTATTTTATACGTGGTAGTGTTATTGTCTGACAGTAATGTTATTTTATACTTTTATACGTGGTAGTGTTATTGTCTGACAGTAATGTTATTTTATACGTGGTAGTGTTATTGTCTGACAGTAATGTTATTTTATACTTTTATACGTGGTAGTGTTATTGTCTGACAGTAATGTTATTTTATACGTGGTAGTGTTATTGTCTGACAGTAATGTTATTTTATACCTGGTAGTGGTAGGGTAGTGTTATTGTCTGACAGTAATGTTATTTTATACCTGGTAGTGTTATTGTCTGACAGTAATGTTATTTTATACCTGGTAGTGTTATTGTCTGACAGTAATGTTATTTTATACGTGGTAGTGTTATTGTCTGTCAGTAATGTTATTTTATACGTGGTAGTGTTATTGTCTGTAGTAATGTTATTTTATACGTGGTAGTGTTATTGTCTGACAGTAATGTTATTTTATACGTGGTAGTGTTATTGTCTGACAGTAATGTTATTTTATACGTGGTAGTGTTATTGTCTGACAGTAATGTTATTTTATACGTGGTAGTGTTATTGTCTGGTAGTAATGTTATTTTATACGTGGTAGTGTTATTGTCTGGTAGTAATGTTATTTTATACGTGGTAGTGTTATTGTCTGACAGTAATGTTATTTTATACGTGGTAGTGTTATTGTCTGACAGTAATGTTATTTTATACGTGGTAGTGTTATTGTCTGACAGTAATGTTATTTTATACGTGGTAGTGTTATTGTCTGGTAGTAATGTTATTTTATACGTGGTAGTGTTATTGTCTGACAGTAATGTTATTTTATACCTGGTAGTGTTATTGTCTGACAGTAATGTTATTTTATACGTGGTAGTGTTATTGTCTGACAGTAATGTTATTTTATACCTGGTAGTGTTATTGTCTGACAGTAATGTTATTTTATACGTGGTAGTGTTATTGTCTGACAGTAATGTTACTTTATACCTGGTAGTGTTATTGTCTGACAGTAATGTTATTTTATACGTGGTAGTGTTATTGTCTGACAGTAATGTTATTTTATACGTGGTAGTGTTATTGTCTGACAGTAATGTTATTTTATACGTGGTAGTGTTATTGTCTGACAGTAATGTTATTTTATACCTGGTAGTGTTATTGTCTGACAGTAATGTTATTTTATACGTGGTAGTGTTATTGTCTGACAGTAATGTTATTTTATACGTGATAGTGTTATTGTCTGACAGTAATGTTATTTTATACGTGGTAGTGTTATTGTCTGACAGTAATGTTATTTTATACGTGGTAGTGTTATTGTCTGACAGTAATGTTATTTTATACGTGGTAGTGTTAATGTCTGTAGTAATGTTATTTTATACGTGGTAGTGTTATTGTCTGACAGTAATGTTATTTTATACGTGGTAGTGTTATTGTCTGACAGTAATGTTATTTTATACGTGGTAGTGTTATTGTCTGACAGTAATGTTATTTTATACGTGGTAGTGTTATTGTCTGACAGTAATGTTATTTTATACGTGGTAGTGTTATTGTCTGTAGTAACGTTATTTTATACGTGGTAGTTGAATTAGTGTAACGTCTGTACTACTCAACCCGACGAGGTAAATTTGGCCTCAATCTCATTACTTACTTGTTTTCTTACCAATTGTCCTCAAAGAAAACAAGCTTGGTATTACTTCACCGACATATTTTAAGTCTTATGTTGTCATGTATACCTCCAAAATAAACACACCAACCACAACATGAACGTGAAGACCTTGTCTATGGTTTTTCCAACGTCTACAGATATACAGCATTACTAGCAATCAAGTAATGCATTGTTTTGTATATTATGGTATCGTGCTTGTGTTTTAGAAATCGGATGGATAGTCTAATACGTCTGTATACCACGTTCATATAATTGTATTTTCTTGAATACTTGTAACGTGACCCGTTGTTGAGCCTTCCGAAACGTTTATCGTAATCAAGATTACAAGGAATAGTTCCTTTGTTTCATTTATAAAACATATCCTAAGGGGAGGGAGGAACAATAAAGTAAAAACTGTAAAAATAAAATCATATTAGACAAATATTTTGCGTCATTGATCGTTGAAAGGTAAAAATATCATCATATTCTTGTCTTAACGTAAAGATATGTGTCGTTAAGTGTTAATTGAAACGGTGAATAAGAAAAGTTCTAACGTAAATGTTTTCTTTATATAGAACAATGTCCAAGTTCTATACACAGTAAACAGTTTGAAGAATTAACTTAATTTAAGAATCATAATTCAAATTCATTCTAGTTCTTATAACTTATTTTAGCTTACAAACGACACAATATTGTATTTTTTCCCTTTTGATAAATTTTCCGAAACTCGTATAACCTATCAAAATCAACTCACTAAACTAGCCTACCGAACAAAAGAACCTATCGAAATCAACGTAACAATCTACTTTATCAAAATCCTCATAAAAGCTACCCAATCGAAATCAACGTAACAAACTAGTCTATGATGTACAACATAAACAAACCTATCGGAATCAACGTAACAAACTAGTCTATGATGTACAACATAAACAAACCAATCGGAATCAACGTAACAATCTACTTTATCAAAATCCTCATAAAAGCTACCCAATCGAAATCAACGTAACAAACTAGTCTATGATGTACAACATAAACAAACCAATCGGAATCAACGTAACAATCTACTTTATCAAAATCCTCATAAAAGCTACCCAATCGAAATCAACGTAACAAACTAATCTATGATGTACATCATAAACAAACCAATCGGAATCAACGTAACAATCTACTTTATCAAAATCCTCATAAAAGCTACCCAATCGAAATCAACGTAACAAACTAATCTATGATGTACATCATAAACAAACCAATCGGAATCAACGTAACAATCTACTTTATCAAAATCCTCATAAAAGCTACCCAATCGAAATCAACGTAACAAACTAATCTATGATGTACATCATAAACAAACCTATCGAAATCCACGTAAAAGCTGCTTAATCGAAATCACCGTAACAAACTGACTTATCGAATTCAACGTAACAAACTGACCTATGAAAACCAACTTAACAGATTAACCCATAGAAATCAACGTAACTAACTGACCTATCGAATTCAACGTAACGCACTAATCTATGAACACCAACGTAAGACTGACCTTCCGAAATGAACGTAAAATAAAAACAAAGTCTTTGTCTTAAATTATATTCTACTTGCATAAACTTTCTACATGAGAATAACAATCAGTTTCGAAAATTCTTAAACATTGAGATTTATGTTTTTTTTTTTTTTTTAATCGTTCAAAGAGAAAAGGCGGCGAGAGTAAACACATTTGTGGTTAACGTTCCTGCACAAAACTTGAGAAAGGAAACACTTTACTTCTTTATTTATTTGTCTGGGGTGAACAAGTTATCTTTTGTTAGCCTTCAAATGTATAACAATTAATCTTATCCTATCTTTGTGCAATTCAGCACTTGGAATTTCCCAACAGCAAATGGACGCTGTTATCTAGGTCAGGGTTATAATTATCGCTTATTTCTAACATGTACATACCTGGGTCTCTAGTCGAAGCCACGTACAAATTGATCCATATGACATGAACGACCTTATCCTCGCGCATATTATATATTAAAGCTATGAATTACATTTCATATTCTATGTATATATCTTGTTAAAGTTTCGGATAATAAATGATTCCTGTTATACATATGCTGGAATAAAGGAAGTACTATCTTATCATACAATATAACGTGTGTATTATATGACAATTTTAACAACTTAATGATATTGAAACATGTGATTATGTTACCTCATGAATAAGC